GCTTGATTGCCCGCCGGTAGATATTCGGTAAAAAGCTCTGCCCACGAGTCCATGCACTTTTCACCCAAATTATTATCCGCCTTGATATTCATGAATCGAGCTGCTAAAGATAATTGAGAGTGACCTTCGTGACAACCATCATACAATGGTTGTTTTGCAGCTTCCATCATATCGTAAAATTTTTGTGACTCGTAATTAGACTCTTCCATATTTTGATAACCATCGACTTGATGATAGTTATCAAAAACTGATGTATCACGAAAGGCATCATTCACCATGTCGACATATCTATCATCTATATTACTAACTTCGGTTTGGCTGCCACTGGGGTGATTCGAATTAACATGACTTGTTCCTAAGTCAAGATTCAATTGTTCCCCATGCATATACCAAACGTAATATTCTGGCATAAATCCTCTACTATATAGATGATTCCAAATTTTACGCCCCGTAAGAAATTTATCATTTTTACATACACTACAAGGGCAGTAAAACTTACCGCCACTACTTTGTGCTAATGGCTGACTATTTGCAAAATTCATGAACTCTTCCACCCCTGCTGCAAACTCGGCTGAGATATTATTCGTCCTTTCATCGATCCTTTTGTACATCCACTCACGAGATTTCCAGTAATTATAATTCTCTCCCATATTTTTATAAAACTTTCTCTCTTTTCACGGTAAATATTTTTTTCACGGTATTTTTTTTTCAAGGAATTTTTTTTTCTTTTCACGCTAAATTTTTGGTTGCTATAAGAAAAAATTAAAAAAAAAAAACCTTTTGCCCAAATGATATGAGAAGAGATGAAGAATTTTTTTAATAACTTTCTCACAAATGAGATGAGAATACGATTGATTTAAATAGACAATGTGAGACTCTTCTGCAACTTGTAGCAAATTAGTTATACCTACTTGCCGTTCAAAAAACATGTGTCCACCAACCTAGTTACATAATCGTCACCAAAACGTGTAACAATTTTGCAACTACAAGATTTTAATCATTTGCAACTAAAGTGTATCTAGATTTTTCCGACTACACATGTGGTTGCATTTTAGTTATACTTTTGCAACTACTAAGGGACCACATGATATAATTGCCAATTCGTTGCAAATATGTTACAATAAAGCAACTGAATTATAACCACAATATTTGGTCACAAAATCGCAACTAATGTACAACGTTTTTATTGTAGTTGCCAAATAGTTGTAAAATCGTTAAAAATAAGTAACATATATTGGTAACTACAAATCGTAGTTACAAAAATAGTTACTAAATTAATGTTTTCTTGTAGTGAATTAAGTTGTTGTCATGTGACAATATGGTTTTCCGATTTTTGAAACCCAATAATTACCTAATGTCAGTGACTTATTCATCCCAAATAAAAATATAAGCATACGATAAAGTTTTATTTTATGGTCTTATTCGATTCGTTAAATGAAAGATATAAATATTTATTAATATATTTCATTATTGTTTTTTTGGACAAATTTCATTATTTTTTTGTTAATAAAATTACATGGTAAGTTAGATTGTGTGCTTGGTTGATAAAAAAAAAAACTTTTTTTTCAAATTTGATGAGTATGGTATAGTAAAACTATCGTATTTTGTACATTTTCATAATATAAGATGTTTTACTTATACATATGTATTAAAATTTGAAGTGTTTAAAATATAATTTAAATATTATTTATTAAACTATAAATAAAAATAGTAAATATATTTAGATATAATTTTCTAAATTTAAACTTATTTTAATATATTTAAAAGCATTTGTATTGTGAAACAGTAAGAAACATAAAGAGTAATATATTAAATATTTTTAATATTGAATATGAAAATATTCTTTGTTTTTTTCTTAAAGTTATTGAAATACATTCATTTAAATTTAGACGAAACCTTCTTGAAATTTATTAAGAGTTTACGGATCACAGCTCCTACTATTCTGGTATTTTATAATCTCACGAAGAGCCACGGTTCCGTAACGGTGAGGCTTCTTGACTCCTCCACTGGTCGGTGCAGATTTTCTTAGCGGTGATGCTTTTTCCCAGTCATGTGATTACCTCAGTTATAACCTTGTATCCTGTCATACATACACTCTTTGTAGCCTCTAACCTCAGACTCAAGTGGAAATACCTCTCTTGTAGCCACCGGGTTTCAGAAAAGATTCTTGCATAAGTCTGAGCAACAGCAGCTTTAGCTCCAGATGCTCCTAGACAGACATGAGCGTGTTCGACAACTGTAAAAGTTCTATTGTTATCCTACACATTCTTCCTAATCCATGTGCGAATGCGAGCTCTTTATTCCATTTCTTAAACACATTTTTAGGCACGACAATCTCCAGATGGGCCACCTATTCCCTTTGCGACCATCAGCTTGGCCTTTCCCTCTACAACCTCGTTTCTCACAGCACCTCTTTGTTGGTTTTGGCTGTCACTAAATATGATACGATTAGATGATAGAAACCGCTACACATTTTATATGAAAGCGAGCTCAGACTCAGTAACATCCTTGAGTTGCATTAACACGAGCTGTAAAAGGAGCATTTTATGTATTTCTACCCAAAATCTCTAGTTTCAGTGACTTTTCATCAGACAGTACATTGTTATCTATTCCCATAGCTCATATTCTGATGTTCCAGACTTCCAGCCCCACATCAATATGTGTTTGGTGCTCTGTAGTGAATTTGCTCACAATTATTATCAGCAACAATGAGTTGCCCGGGTATCCACACTTAGTATCACACCGTCCTATTCAGACACAAATATTGAAATCAATGTTAAATGGCTACCACAATCTTTTACTAAAAAGCAAATTAAGTAAAAAGTAATCTACTATGAATAAAAGGAGCAAATGAAGCTCCTTGAGCTATGCCACATCAGACAAAATAATTATCCAATCAAACAATTTCGTTTTGCCACGCAAGCTCTGCTTGAGACAAAAAAAAAAAGATATCACGGATCTGTTGAAACAAATTTCAGAGACCAATCTCACAAATTGAATCGTCGATCGATTCACTAACTTCTTCTCCGTTTTCCCTTCTAGCCATCTTCATCACCACTCACAATCAAACCTCTTCATTACTCTCATTTTTAATGTCTCTCTTTTCAACTCCCTCTCTATCTAATTCTTATAAAACAAAATCAAACAAACTCGGCAATTTTTGTAAGCCGCCGTTCTTGGCTATCCCGACCAATATTCTCCGGTCTCAGAAAGACCCTTTAGCGTGATTGAGGATTTCAACAACTGGAGACAGCGCCTGAGTTGGCGGAAGCTGTTGCGGCTATTCGTGCTCTTGCGGCTGTTATTAGGGCTAGCGAAGCAAGGACGATGATGGAGCTCAAGATTGAACTCAAGAAAGCTTCTGATACATTGAAAGTAAGCGTCTTTCTTCTTCTTTTCGTTATCATTATATCCAGCCCATCTTCCAAAATCTCATCTTCTAATAATCAATCAATCCGACTTTTCATTCGCCACCACCCTTCCGTTGCTTCTCTTCTCACTGGAGAGAAACACGAATCGTCAAACTTACATATCACGCATCATGGCGGCGGATATGGCTGAAGAAGACACCGTACGTAACGGTGGATCAGAATAGTTATAGTGGTGACGAAGCTTCTAAAGTCTTTACATTACTCACCGTTCTAACCCTCACTCCAATCATCGTCGCCAGTACATTTAAATCATCCGATAACACCGAAAGTCCCAACCTTTTCATCAACAATCTGAATTCGATCTCCATCTTGATTCTGTTTTTTTTTTTTTTTAAATTGTAGCTTTCTGCGTTGATTGCTGGTGGGGAAGAACTGCCACAACAACTATCTTCATCGCAGCAGCCATTACAGATTGGCTTGACGGTTATATTGCAAGAGAGGTACTTCCTTTTTTAATACCCTTTTAATGTTTTATGAGGTGAAGGTTTGAGATGTTGTGTTGATTTCAGATGAGGTTAGGCTTTGCATTTGGTGTTTTTTTGGATCCAGGTTAGAGAAAGCTCTTTTGTTTTTATCTTCATCATCACAAGACTTTTATCTTTATGGTTGGAGTTATAATCCCAGCTTTTAGATTGAAGTTATAATATTTTCTTTCTGTATATCTTATTTCCAGTCATTCAGATAATAATTTGGTTGAACTGAGTGAAGTGAAAACCAAGGAAGTAAAAGTAGCTGTTTTACTCGAAGGAAGTGGTCTTCCAAGATCTGTCTCTGCCAGGTTCTATAACTCGCCTGTCAAAACTAACTTAATTAGATAATTATATACCGGTTTCTTCTTTTTTTTTTTTTTCGTGAAATGTTCTCTGGGTAAAATTTGATTTCTGATACTGGATGACTCTTTCTTGATTGATAATCGAGCAACCTTGTGAGCCATGTAAGTTCCTTGATTATCTGATTCGGATTCAGTCAAACCGCTCAGAAGTACTCTCTTAAAGTTCAGAAGAGCGGTGCTAACGAACACCTTCCTCCTCCACGACCAAAGAAGAATTCTAGGCATCCTTATTCTCAAAAGGCTCCTAAAAAGATGACTTTTTATGATCTTCTCATCTCCTTTGTGTTCATCCTTTCATTGTTTTGTCCTTCTCTCTTATGTTTTTTTCTTTTATGCTGCAGTTGTTCTTCCCTCCCACGCCATTGGTTCCATCCCTGCTTCAGACGTGGTCTAGCTTTATGTGGCATATTGTTCTGTGCGTTGAGTTTGCAGCTACGTAAAATGAAGGTAGAGATAGCAGAACTTGCAAAGAATCCCATGGGGTTCCTCATGGAGTCTGTTCACTCTGCTGGTTATTCAGGTGCATTGGCAAATCCTCTGTACACACCTGAGTCTGCTTTCCACAGATTTAATGGGGAACTCTTTGAAGAGTTTATGACTGTAAGACCGCATCAGCTTTTGAGAACCATCTACATTTCTGTGATTACAATGGTTTAGTTAAGATGGCGTCATCATTTTTGTTCTTTTTTAAACTCACTTGATCTGGGAATTTTAGGAGAATTTCACTGCTGGCACGTATGGTTCTGGTGGCAAGTGGAGCTGAGCATGAAGATCTTTTGAAAGTTGTTGAGCCATTAACTTCTGACCCGCCTAACTTACCACGCGAAGCAGAGCCTAAGTCTCAGTATACTGGTGGAGATTTTCGCCACAATACTGGTGGAGATTTTTGCCAACATACTGGTGGAGAGGTATGCATGACAGATATGATGTCATTGGAAAAATGTATTTGAGCTAAAGTTGTTTTCAGTTCACAATTCTAATTGAGATTTTTCTATCATATCAGGCTACACACTTTGGGCTTGCCTTTGAGGTTCCCGGCTGGAAGAGCAAGAAAGAAGCACTCATCGCTTATGTTCTCCAGGTGTCTAAATTGAATGTTTAATATTTTGTTATGCTAAAATTTCATTTGTTTCAGTTAAATTGTATTTACTAAGTAAGAGTCAATATAATCTAATTGCTATTAGATGCTTATGGGAGGAGGTGGCTCATTCTCAGCTGGAGGCCCTGGAAAAGGAATGCACTCATGGCTTAGTAAGTCGAAATTTTGTGTTTTTTTCTTGCGCTTATTGAATTATATCATGAAACATTCTCAAGCACTGCTTAGGAATCAGCAATAGTGATACAAGTTTCTATGTCTGGTTACAGGTCTCCGTATTCTGAACGAATATCAGCAAGTTCAGTCATGCACCGCATTCACTAGCATATTTGGCAACACCGGACTGTTTGGAATCCATGGTTGCTCGGTGAGTTCAGCAAGATCCTGATGCTGTTTAGTATGCTTTTCCTTTTATAAAATACTAGGTGATTTTCCCGTGCTCATGCACGGACATAAATATTTATAAAATAAATATATAATAATAATTGATTGATATTTACTTAAATTTTAAATTAATTTATAGTTCTCATGTCTAATTTATATTATAATATTATATTACTTTAATTATATATATAATCAGATATGTTATATTTAATTAGTTTTATTATTTTTACAGTCGATTTAGTTATCATTTGGATATATTGGATTCTATCTATTTCTATGAATTCAACTATAATCTTTTTTTTTATTTTAAATATATTAAAATTTTTATTAAGTGTCTTATTTGCATTTATGCTTATTGTTATCTTAGAAATATAAATATATTTAGTAAGATTATATATAACTTAAGATTTTTTGTGCTTAGAATGAGAAAATAAAAACTAAATTGTCTGATTCTAATTTACATACATAAGTAACTAATAAATTTTTAGAAGCTTATGAACACATATGAATATTTACAAAAAATAAAATATTTTATAAATTCTAAATAAATTTATGCTTTAGATTGATTGGATGGTAAACTGAAATTTATTTTAAATCATTTTTAAAATAATGATTCTAATTTGCTTAAGTATTTTGATTATAGTTATATTAAGTTTCACAAACATGAAAACATAAAATTAAAAACCAAAAGATTTATTAAGAAAACAGATAATTTTAACTATTAAAATATAATATATCGACCTCGTTAAATTATATAGTGTATGGTATTTTATAATAATTGTAGTTATTTTCTGTTTTTATGTTTGTGAAACTGAATATAACCATAATCAAAATACTTAAGCAATTTTAATAGTTAATAATTTTAACTATTAAAATATAATATATCTACCTCGTTAAATTATATAGTGTTATGATATTTTAAAATGATTGTAGTTATTTGATCAAAAGATGTTTATTATTAAGTTTATTTTTAGCTTTATTTTTAATATTTCTTAAAATAGTCAGTACAAAAAGTGATTGTTTAGGAGAAATTATATTATATAAGTAAAATATAATTTATATTTTTGGTGTAATTGTTAGATAATATAATCAAATAAATATACTAAAAATAATTTCAATAATACTAATTATAAAAAAGTGTCAATCAAACATATATCAGTTTATGTTAGTTAATTATTTTTAAATAGATAGATATATGCAAAATAATTATTTTGAAAATATATTTTTTTTTTTGTCTAAAATTATTTTTGTAAAGAAAAAATATTTCTTCTTCTAATATCAAGATTATTTGTGTGAACTTTTTTTTTATGAAACCACATTATATCCAAATATTTTTTTTATCTAAGAAGATATAGATATAAAGTATTTTATTACTTTAAAAGTATATTTTCTGATATTTAAAATATATTTAAATTAAATATTACTATTTTGTGAACTTTCCTTTTTTTTATGAAACCATATTATATATACTTATATTTTCGTTTTAAATAGTTTTGTAAACTTTATAAATCTTTCCTTTTTATTTTATATTCTTATTTGGAAATTTTTAAAAAGGAAACAATAATATCTAATTGTATTTTTAATTTATTAGGGGTATCATAGTAATCAACCAGTGTGAAAGTTAACGTGAGCGCGACACCTAAGAAAGTGACTTCTCAAATAATATTATAGAGATACACTCTTTTTCCATATATGATAGATGTGTATTAAAGGAATACCAGTTTGGAGTCTGTATTATTAAAAAGCTTCAGGAATATTGATTCTGTGAGCTTATTAAGCTTTGTCCAGTTTGTGTTAGCTGACAACGTCTTTGCTTGCTATGTATTCTGGTAAATATAATGATATGATGATTTACATCCCTGATTGCAGAGTCCTGAGTTTGCTGAATGATATGAGAACAGCTATATACAATAGAGAGGAATGTTGCTGAACTTCAAGACGTTTTATAGGGATAGATGATACTGAGTGGACTCATTAGCTTAAATACTTACAGCTGAGATTGATCGTACGTGGAGAGGGTGTTGATGATATAAGCCCATAATCTTGCTAGGGAGCTGGCGTTTACGGTAGATCCCCTGATGAAAACGCCATCATCATAGTTATCTTACTAGGCTTTGGTTTTCTATTTATTATTTTCTATATTAGTTTGATTTTCCTTTCTCCAATAGGAGTTGTTAACAAGTCGTGCCTTATATATAGTATCTCTTCGGCCTTGTGAGGGATACAACTTTGATTATTTGATTTTATAAACTTAGTAGATATATGCTGATTGTAGTTTTTTTTAGCAACATAAACAATTAAATAAAGTATAGTCAATTCTTGAAACTAAATATGCTAGATTAGGAAAAAACAACATAATTTTAATATAACACCAAATATTGTGGACATAAGAATTAAAAACAAATAAAAAAGAAAGAAACTAATAATAACCAATATATTCTAAGTTCCAATATAAAAATTTTAATTCTATATTAACATTTTATCAGAATTAATCATTCAATTTTAACTATCACAAATAAAACACATAAAAATAAAAAGAAATAGCACCTTCATATTTTAAAGTATTTAGGTCAGATAATTGTCAAAATTTTAAATTAGTAGAAACTGAAAAAAATATCTATTACAAAATAAAAACTTATCAAAAGATTTACGCAGCCAAGTTTATCGATCACTCGAACATACAATCACATAAAGAATTATGTGATTGACCTACCCAGGTATGCTAGGTATGTATCCTTATTATATAAAAAATATGTATATGTATCAACTTAATTTCGAATAAAATAACTTAATATTTACCAATTTAAGATAATTTCTTTCATACGGTCCACATCGCAGCTATCTATCTTTTATTCTCCGAATGATATAATCTATCTCTTACATTAGTTATAATCATTTAAGCTACTCTTTTTAAAAGATAGTGAACACTTAATGATCTCAATCCACAAATGTCATTGGAAAATATGATCTAAACCTAAACTATCTATCCAAATGTACCAAAAATAACCAAAAAATTTCATTATACCCAGTTTTGAGCATTTTTATTCATGATATCCTATTTTATCCGAAAACACAAAATATTAAAAGTAACTAATATAATTAATTTATGATTTTAATTTAAACTATTAAAATACTTATATGTCAACTATAATATATATATATATATATATATATATATATATATATATATATATATACACTTTTTGGATATCTTCAGATACTCATTCGATTCTCAGTTTTGATAGGATTGAGTACCAATTTTTTGATACAGCAATTTAGTATGCATTCGGTTATTTATCATGGATCTGATGAATTCAGAAGCCTGATTTTTGGGTTAGTTTAAAGACGGATATTTTAGTCAGCCCTAATCTTACTATTAAAAGAGTTGACTTCATATATTTCATTAACTTTCAAATGTTAAAAATTTGTTTAATAATTCATTAGTTGTCAAACTTTTGATATACCAACAAGTAAATACTTTTTTTTACAAGTCAATTCTTAAGTAAAACATTTTAATACCTTGATTATTGTTTGGCTGTTTGTGTTTTAATATCTTGAATCACAAATGATGAAAACAAAATTTAACTTCTAAAGCCCTTTAGATGATTAGTAGAATTTCTACATGTTATAAACAGCCTTCAAGCATAATAATTCGAAGAAGTCACACTCATGCAATTAGAACATTGACTCTTCCTTACAAAATTAAAAAGTTAATAAATATAAAAAAATGTTTTTGTGTAAAGTTTAGTGTGATGGTTGGAGATAAAAATATAGTTTGACACCAAATTTTATGTCAAGGTGAGAAATGCTCTCAGTAATGCTGTGTTATCTTAATTTAAGGTTTATGACATTTTTAATTTTTCCCTTATGCATAATAGTTTTGTTTAGTTACAAAAAGAATTTGATTGAAAATTTGTATTACTAGAAACACCATTAAACAATATAAATTATATTTTTACATTTAGCATCTAGACCCAAAAAAATAAGTTTTATCATTTTCAATAACCTTTCACACTAAATTATATGTTTAAAGACATGGTCTCTTATCAACTATAAAGTATTTTAGTAACACTATTTTCGCAATTATAATACTGATAGATATCTTTTAGAAACAAAAATAAATGAGGATTGCACTTTTCTAAAACAAAATTTTGAGGTACAATATTATTTATATGTCATATTAATTCAACATAACTAAAAAGATAATTTCATATAATTAATAATATATTTATTGTGAGAACAACTTCTAGAATATTTTTTAAAAACATTCTAAAAGAAACGTAGCAAATGATAAAAAAAAAAATCAAAGTAATACAACATAATAAAAAATATGTTCATGAAATATAATAATATATTTTTTACAATAATTTATGTTATGTTTATCAAAATTTTGTTTTACTCAATTCAATATTTTACTACCAAACATATTCCAATTATTTTCACAAACACAAGCAATAAATGTATTATAGATCACAAATTAATTTTTACAATTTATTCATAAATTTAAAATCAAAAAATAAAATATACAATTATAATAAAACTAAACTATAGTTTTAATATTTTTTCTCATCTAATTTTCAATTATTCTAATTAAAGTATTATATAATGTATCACAATTTAAAGTATTATAAATTACATTTAAAATTTTTTCAAATAAAAAGTCATTACACTCTAAAACTCAAATATTATAATAATTTTGAAAAGTGGTAAGGGAAATTGCCAGAAATAACACTTTCAAGATACCACTTTTCAACTTTACACTAATCAACTTTACCATTAAAATTTTAATAGTCAAAATACTATTATAATTTAGGATTTAGGGTTTTGGGTTTAGGATTGATAGTTTAGGGTTTAGTGTTGATTTTTTAGGGTTTAGGGTTTACTTTTTAGAGTTTAGAGTTTAGGATTTAAGGTTAAGAATTGATATTTTAGGGTTTAGGTTTATTTTTAGGGTTTAGGATTTACTTTTTAGGGTCTAGAGTTTAGAATTGATGTTTAGGGTTTAGGATTAATATTTTATTTAATATTTATTTTATATATATATATAAAAAAACAAGGATATAAGAGACTTTTATCCTTTAATAAAATGTGTATTTTTGAAAATGTTCCTTTGTTGATGGTAAACATGAAAAGTGGTACCACCAAAGTGGTATAATTGAAATTATCCCAAGTGGTAATCGACTTATGGTATTTCAAGCAGTTTTATATGGGCCTAAGTTGAAAAAACTTATGGTTTTTCCTTTTTCTTGACTCATAAAATTCGGCCCACTTTTATATGAGCCTAAGTTGAACCTCCACGTCCATCTATAAATAAATCTCAGAAGGCAAAAGTTAATTCATTCGTCTCTTTGCTTCTTCTTCCCGCGTCTTAAAAAAAAAACCTTTTTCCTCTTTCGTTCCCGAATCGAAGATATAGATCATACGTGCGTTTGATCTCTCAGGTTTGCTTCTTCTTCGACTTCGGATCTCTGATGAATTCTTCGTGCTTAGTTTCAATTTCGGTTTCCGCGCTTCGTCTCATCTTCGTCCGATTATTCCCAAAAAGCTAGGGTTTCGCTGATGAGAGATGATGGAATCAAATCGATCTTGTATATAGTTAGGGTTTTGGAAGATCGATCATCTATGGAATTAGATTAGGGTTAGGAATGGAGATTAGGTTTATTTGGATTTGTTTATGATTTCTGCGGACTTGGTGATCTCTACGGTACTTGGGAGTGTTAGCATGGAACTTGGGAGGTGTTTGATTATCAGTCATCTTACTCTCCTTGGGAAGCGTGTTACTCTTCTGTGGATCATCATGGATGAAGCAACAGCTATTGGATCTGTGGGTATAATCTGCTAAAGTTAGTGTTTTTCTCAATGTGTGTTTATAGTATGAGTTACAAGGCTCCAAGGAGATACTCTAACCGAAGGAACTTTGGAGTGGAAAGACAACAAGATTTTGCAGCTGATGTAGTTCCGAGAAGACCTTATGTTCCTTATGCAAACCAGGGTCCTAATAAGTGGTCTAGGAATCTGGTTTGGACGTCATCAGATGCCAACAATCCAAGGAAGAATGATACCACTTACAGGTCAACAAAACCACACGTTTCAGGGTCAGTAGCTCATGTGTCAGAGCAGCAGAGGAAGAATGCTGTTTATGGTCAAAGATGCTCGTCTGTTTCAGACAGTAGAGGTTGGGGGTCTAACGCTAAAGGCAGTCCCAAGTCTAAGGAATCTCTGTGTAAGTTTTGGAAAGCTGGAAATTGCAAGAAGGGTGATCAATGTGCTTTCTTACACTCTTGGACTAGCCTCCCTGGAATGGTCATGGTAACTGCTCTTGAAGGACACAAAAAGGTTTCTTTTCCTTTTTAAAAAACTTTCTTTTTACTCTTGACTATTGGCTATAAAGGAAAACGCTAACTTGTTGTTTTTTGTTTTTTGTAGGATCTGAAGGGGATTGCACTTCCTCAAGGTTCAGATAAACTCTTTTCAGCCAGTAGCGATGGTACATTGCGTATATGGGACTGCCACACTGGCCAGTGTGTTCATACAATCAACCTCCAGGCAGAAGCAGGGTCGTTAATGAGTGAAGGATCATGGGTTTTCCTTGGCTTGCCAAATGCTGTAAAGGTTAGCTTAAGAAATCTCTTAACTCGTATACTCTTGACTTGAGTGGGATTTGTTTTGTTGGCTTTGACTCTGGTCTCATTGTCTTTGTTTATGTACAACTCTGCAGGCTTTTAACGTTCAAACCAGTAAAGATTTGCATCTTAACGGAGTGGTTGGTCAGGTCCGTGCTATGACTGTTGGCAATGGAATGCTTTTTGCTGGGACAAGTGTAAGTGTTGTAGTTTTTCCTCTCTTGCTTTCTACTTTAGTTATCTGCTTCATTGTTGGTTCTAAAGTAAGTTGCTTTTTTTGTGCAGTCTGGTACTATATCTGTCTGGAAAGCAACTGACTCTGAGTCTGATCCTTTCACATACCTCACATCTCTAGAGGGACACCATAGCGGTGAAGTCACATGCTTTATAGTTGGAGGTCAGCGACTATACTCTGGTTCTGCTGATAAAACAATAAAGGTGTGGGATCTCAGTACACTGGAATGTACAATGACACTGAGGCAACATACCAACACTGTCACGTCGCTCCTATGTTGGGATCAGTATCTCATATCTGCTTCTTTGGATGGGACCATCAAAGTCTGGGCGTGTTCTGAAAACGGCAGCTTGAAAGTTACCAATACACGCAGACAAGAACAAGTAAGTGTTTTGTATACACACCTTATTTTCTGCTCATGACAATGAACCACACTTGGTTATAATTAAAAACGTTTCTTAATGTTTTCTTTCTTTGTGGTTTGAAACAGAGTGTGCATAGTCTTTGTGGGATGAGCGATGCAGAGGGCAAACCGATCGTGTTCTGTTCTTACCAAAACGGAACCGTCAGCATATGCGAACTACCATCGTAAGTATAGTTTAGTCCTAAAGTCTCTCTAGCTAGATTGTTACTTTAACCTTAAATCATTGTTACTCATTCATTATGTTGTGCTTCTTTTGGCAATGAAACAGTTTTGAAGAGAGAGGAAAGATGTTCTCGACTAACACGGTCGGTGCAATCACAATTGGTCCTGAGGGGTTGTTATTCACTGGAGACAAGAGTGGGAAGCTGCGTGTTTGGAATTTAGCTGGCACCAAAGTTTAACCATTTTACAATCTTGGGATGATTTAATGTTGTACATAATTAATAGTATGACTTGAGAGACTCTTCTTATGTAATGACTGGGATACTAAATATCCATGCATTAATTAAAGTAATATCATCTTCTTTCAGGCTTTGTCTTATGTCAGACGTGCGTAACTCACAAGTAACTAGTTTACGTACAACTTAAACTTTCGTCTTCTTAAAAACCACAAAATTTCTTAAACACTTCCAACTTAATTTTGTCGCCTCTTAACAATTATTTCAGGCTTTGTCTTATGGTCACCAGTGGCCGTAACTCGCAAGTTACGGTATCATTTGCAACTTACACTACTTTTGTTTTCACATCAAGACAAAATTTCTAAAACACCTCCAACTCAATTTGTCGTCTCGTAACAAATATTTAAAAAATCTAACATCAATAATTCAGGTTTTAATATTGATTACGGGTAAGAAGTAATCACTAAGTAACAATTAATGATATTGTTTTCTATTCAATACAAAGAACGTATGCCGGTGCAATGACAAAATAGTTGATTGGTGCGAGTTTGTTCTATGGGAGGGAGAAAGACAAATCTAATATTCGATTCCATTTTGAGATCAATACATACAAAAACAACTCTATCTAGCTTCGTCCTTAAGATTTGTCAAGGCTTTTTTTGTTTGTTTGTCAACTATCAAGGCTTTATTAATGGATAGAACACCTAGATGTATTTATTGTACACATAATAATGTTATGACGAAAGCAAAACTGATGCTGTAACCTTAAGTAACTGAAGTAATCGAACCTTCGTTTTCCAGAAGAAAATATTTCGGAAAAAATAAACGTTAGAATTCAAAGTAGTCATGATTCGTATTTTCCATGATTCTTTTTTATTGGTCAGCAATTACCAATCTTTATAAACCTGATCCGGACACTGAAACAGACGACTTATCGGTTTAATGTCACTGGGTCAATCGCATGTAAACCACATATTAATGAATTAATTTTATTATATAACAAAATATTAGCTATGAAAATAAAAAATAAAAAAAACTAAAGTTTAATATTTTCTAATTTTTTTTTAAAACATAAAATAATAGTTTGGCTATGAATATATTTTATGTTTAAAAAATTAAGAAAATAATTTACTTCAGTCTTATATTTTTTTTTTTCATTTGACATACAAAATATCAAAATCAAAATCAGTTTAGACTATTTAATTTTTTTTGTAACAAGTTATTATAACATCTAAAAAAATCAAGACATAAAATTCATAAATATTAAATGTCTAATATGAATAATAAATTAAACTTCAAATTCCAAAAAAAAGAAGCAAAACATCATTATAATAAATTGTCAATAACAAAAATAAACTAACACCAAATCACATCAACTAATTTTAGTTTTGTCTACCATCGTTCACTTCATATTTTCAGGAGTCATAGAGAGGTTTTCATCAAAATCTAAAATCACAAATATGAAACTGAAAAGTGAAAATTTAACCAGTAGTTTATTTTTTTAAAACATAACTAAAAACTAAAAGAAAAAGCAAAATTTATTTATTGTTTCAACCAGTAGTTTAACCGATATCGGCTTCTGGGTTTTAGTAGATTTTCGCGGGCTTTTATGGGTTTTTAAAGTTTGGTTTTTTTCACAAAACCCAAATCGGATTTATTCTAGGTCACCATGTTTACCGGTTCAACCGCAGATCTGGGTCGGGTTTCAAAACACTGGCAATTACGCATGCATTTTTTATGTGATATTTGCGAGAGAATATTAAACCTCCAAATTTTCCAACTAGAATTTTAACATTTAAATTTGAATTTGTATCATTTGTCGACTTTTTCAAAAATTTAATTATTTAATAAATAAATAAAATAAATTCAAAATATCTAACAAAAAATCAGAAAACTAAAGAAAAATTTATAAAATTAAATGAGAATTTATAAAAATTAGATAAAATTCATAAAATTAAATAAAGTTGTGACTATTTTTAAAATATAAAAAAAAAATAAATCAAAATAAATAAAGTTCATAAATGAAATAAAAAATAAGGGAAATCACAAAATTCACAAAAATTAGAAAATTCAGAAATTGAAAATAGTTTTTTTAATTACAAGATTATTTTCTTAAAGAAAATTGATATTTCAACGTTGACAATAACGGTTGCAAACATATCACTGATGAAATGATTGTTTCTCATATAACCATTAACAATGATGATTTTTGATATATCTCTAATGATATTTTCTAACATCATCGTTAAAAATGACGGTAGATATGTCAATAACGATGTTTTGCAAAAATAACAATTTTTGAAAACCATCATCAACAAGAGTGATATGTCAATGATGATATGTCAGTTTTTTAAATGATCTTGTAGTTTTTTAATGAATCTTTTTTCTTTAAAGAAAAAAACTTTTTGTATTTTTGAATATTTTTCTTTTATTTTTTTTAATTTTCTGAATTTTTTTTAATTTTATGTACTTTAATTTAGTTTTATTAGTTTTCTGATTTTTATTTATTTTTCTAATTTTCATTTATTTTCTGATTTTTTAGTTCCTGATCTTTTATATAATTCTCTGAATTTTATTTGATTTTTGTTTATTTATTAATTAAATAATTGTTTTTGGAAGAAAAAAACACCACCTCATCATTTTTATCAGTATAACAAATCAACTTTTTTGTATGAATGAGTAAGTTAGGTTGAAGATTCTTTATAATACAAATGTGATTGTGAAGATTAAAAATGCTAATCAAAGAATTTGTAGGTTTAAAATGTTAGTGAATGCTATTTTCAGAGTTTTTATACGATTTTCCTTTTAAATATGTCTACCAAAAACATTTTTTTAGAGAAGGTTAGGGCATCTCCAACCCTACTCCATTTTCTATTCCAAACATCATTTTGAAATAAAATCTTCTCCAACTCCACTCCATTTTCAACTCTAAAATGGAGTAATGGCTAGGGTTACTCCATTTATGGAGTAATCTTACACATTACTCTATTTTGGAGTTAAACTTTTTTTATTTATGAAATAGTCCTTTAACACTCTAATATTTTTCTTTCTTACTTAAATAATATTTAAAAATACAATAACATGAAAAACAGGATATTTCATTATTTAATAATTTAACACAAAAATACATAGCATAATTAAAAACATAAATAATATTAAATAAAAATAACATAAAATAAGAGATTTAAAGAAATCGCTTCTAGATCCGCTAAGACCGGTGAAATATTTTCCAAAGCTCATTTTTTCATTACGAAATGCATTAGTTGATCATTTGTTGGAAAAATATTCTAATGCTCATTATTGAATCAGCTTATATTGTGTTCTATTTTATTTTTCTGATTTCTTGTACTTTTTAATAATAATGTTTAATTTAAATAAATTATATTTTAAGGTATTTTTATAAACATAAAATAGTTGGGGTTAATTGGTAAACTTTTATAAATAAAAGGTATTATTAACAATTATTAATTATTTTTGGAGTAAAAAATGGAGTAAAACATTGAAGTAAAACCTTACTCCATTTTGGAGTTGCACCATGTTGAAATAAAATATGGAGTAATACACTAGAGAGGCTTTTTTTTTTTTTTTTGATTAACCAGGTGTTAACCAGCCTTCGGCCAATCCACCACCTAGTGCATGGCGCCAGCCTGCGTCTGTACCGGTTAAGGCCCTGGACACGCCTCCCCGCCTGCGAATCGAACAGCTGACCTCCCAAGGTTGAGGGGCAGGTACCACTGGACTATCGAGTCCGGGTTACACTAGAGATGCTCTTATACGCATATCATTGAAACAACATTTTCCTATATAATATTAGATAATACGCATATGTTTTTTTTTTGTCAACATTCATACGCATATGTTATTTAAGATAACACGACTGATGAATATAAGGTTTCGTTACCATATATAAAAAAATTGTTGCACCTCAAGTCTTTGTAAGTTTGTATTCTATTGGTGCTATGCAACTATCTCTTGCTAACAAAACAATAATTTAAATCACTTTTCTTTTATATATATATATATATGTATATATATATATTGTATTGTCATCTTTTTAGTTTATATATATTCTTCGTGGGAAAATTTCATTTATATGTGTTGGTTTGTAAATTTTCTTTGAACGGTTTCCATTGTTTTATCTCTGAAGTTACTTTTAAGAAGTTCACTCCTTTTGAAGCTTTTTAAATTGCGTCAAAAATTCTAAATACTGATAAATTAGTAAAAAAAAAAAATCAGTTTTGGAGACAATCGAATGACAGGACGAAAATGGTTGATTCATCAATAGAATGTTGACATAAACAAAGAGATGTTTTACAGAAAAAAATAAAAAAAAATTCAATAAATATAAAATTTTGATCCGAAATACATGGTATGGTCACGTGAAAAAATTATAACTATTTCGTAAATTTAGTTGTAGAAGATAGGCCTGCGTATTCGGGTAGTCGGGTGTCCTTTCGGGTCCAAGTCTTTTGGGTCTAGGAGTTTAAAATCCGATAGGATAATTTCAAATTTTCGGTTCCTCGGGGCGTACCGGGTCCGGGTTGGGTCGGGTCTTAGATAGTTGGACCCATTCGGGTAATTAGAATTTATCGGTTCGGTTCCAGGTCGGGTTCGACCTAAAAAATACCTAAATATACAAAAAATATCTGAAATATTTATATATCCGAAAATATTCAAAATTTTATTCAAAATTTATGTTTTTATTATATTAAAATGTGTATATATATTAAACTACGCGAGATACAACAACAATTCTTTTCTCCTAGTGGTTGACCACTTTACTCTATAGAAACAACCCGTATTTGACTCCCCTTCAATACATTTTATTTTAATTAGATTATTAATTCAGGTACTCATCGGCTTTCGGGTTCGGTCTGGGTCAGGTCAAAGACCCGCGGGTCCTCTACAACAAGATCTGATAGGATAATTTGATCGGGCCAATTCTACCTGGACTGGATGTTTTCGGGTCAGTTTCGGGTCGGGTCTTCAGGTCCAGGTAAAAT